TCGAATACTGTTATATCCTGATGAAGACATAAGTACGGGTAACTCCCAGAACCTGTTAATGGACTATTATTCTATATATATTCCTATTGTTTAACTTTTGAGTAACTAGATTGCGTATATCTATATTCATCTTATTACGAGCTTCATTTTGACCCATGGGCAATTATTATATGAATTACTGTCCTTAAATTATATTCAGTTTATTGATTATTGTATCCCACGTTCACAGCCATATTTTGCTTGATCTTGTACAAATATTATTCTCTATTTTATGGTGTGATGCGGTCTGTCTGTCTGGTAAATAAACCGAGTATGCTTGAAATAAATGATTCGTATAGCAGAAGCTGTAACTGGTGTTCTGGACTCAATTGGAAAGGCTCGTCGGACAAGGGACCAATAAGGGCGCTAAACTACTTATACCGGTCGAAGTCATTGGTTAGCACAGTGCCAAGATTGAAAAAGTCGTATTTAGATTGGCGGATAAATCACGCGATAAAAAAGCCGGACATAAATCATAACGAATCGGCATACGGCCTATTATTTTTTATCAAGTCATAACAAATACATTCTTCTCTCTCTGTATTTCTATGTTATCCTATTTGTAAGATTTTATTTAACCATAGGTATATGTTTTACCGTTCATAAACTTCTGTCAATTAAATATTCACGTACTACTCAGTTTTTTATTTATCAAATGACTTAGTCACATAAGAAATGTGACTCGTTCGTAGTCGAGTAATCGATATACTTAATCATGTAGTTGTTTGAGTAATCACATCTGAAAATAAATAAGCTTGGTAACTTTGCTGTAGCGAATTCCTGCCTAAAGCCTCCTCGTGACGATGATGGATAATAGGAGCGACCTTGCTAACCAACTTAGGCGGTCGACGGACTGGTCATCCACTCTGTTGTACCTCTAGTCAACTCGCGTTTTATTCTAGGGTCTTTTAACCTCACCGGGCCACCGATGTATATGCTTATGTACAGGAATTGCAGAAGTCCTCGGGTCTATGTAGTTCATGTATATAGGTATATGAAAATTGTGTGTGGTGTCGAACGAAGGAAAAGTTAGTTGAAATATTGTCTAATCTATGTCTAATAAAATCAGCAACCTAATCTATCAGGTCAAAGACATAATAGAAAATACTAGGGAGGCGACCAACAACTTCCCCTGAGGAAATGCTTGCGTGTGTGTCAGGAAGTACTAAGGAGGTAGCCATGGGTTGAATGATATGTATGTAATATGTAAGAGTCTGGTGTATCGAATGAGTTTCCATGAGAGTGGTGAACATCTACCCTGCCAGGTGGGTGAATATATATGCATATGTATGCTATGCGATAAAACCTGTATGCTACCGGTGTGCATGTAACGTATATTTGCTCACAGGGTAGGTATATCTGAATGTATGCTATGGAATACTCGGATGAAAGTCCGTGTGTTACATAGTATGCATGTAGACTATACCTATCCAAGGTAAGTAATGACCAAAAATGCTTTACTTGCACATATTATGATGCCGAGATACATGTAAAAACCTGCGGAGCCGCGGTTCCCCATAAAATCACATCCACACAGTAGTTTTGTGAGCCTTGGAAACACGGAATCCATTCCAGGAGGGCCAACTGAGACCTCACAGATTAGGCTTTACCAACCAATCTAGCTGGAACACATTACACCGGTATCTTCGTGTCCTGATTGGCCACTTAAGATAGAGGGAGATGAGTGAACTAATAAACATTAGGATGTCCAGCCACTACTGCTAGTTATCCAAGTTATTGAGTGAAGGTTGTCGGTCGGATTATCCTAAAGTAAAGTCGTCATTAGAGTACACTGTAATCTAACGGTCTAATTAAGTGGGCAAACAAAGAATTGCATTCATAAGAGCTATGCACACTGGATTTACTCCACACTTCGAATTCCGCATAATTGGAAACTGAATGACTAAGATCAGCTCATTTACATTTAGGTCCATATTATTGTCAACTATATAATGTATTATAAAATTTTCATTATTTTGTTGACCTTATTGTATGTGTATTTTAGTATATTAGTTAACACTAGAATTACTAATGTTATCACTTACTTTTGTTAGGGATCTTAGTCACTTGATTAACTAATAGAAGTGAACAAATTTGTTTAAGCGGAAAAGTTATCTTATATTGTACACAGAGAGAAAAGCCATGTGTCGTTGATTAAGATACAAAACTAATCATAGACATGTATATTTTAATAACAATCAGAAACAATTTAATTAGAGTCAAATTAAGGACCACAATAACACAGATTAGTGTGGTATTGGTCTTTTGAATGAAATCTATTTTAATTGAAGTCAGTAAATAGAAATCTTATGTTCATAAACACATTGGAACAGAATTGATCTCTTTGAATTTTGTCCCGTTTATATCACAATAACAATCCGTAAACTGTAAAACGATATCTATGAGGAATGTGTCGTTGACTGAGATGGTTGGGCCACGTGTTATGTATGCCTGAACACCTATTACCACGACGCACTATGCTGACTAGTATTGAGGATAGTTGGAAGAGAGTTAGAGGGGGCCAAACCAAAACCTGGCATCAGTGCTTGAAGTCACTAACTTCTAATCTGAGCCATGTTGGTAGATGCAGACTACGTGGTTGGGGTCTGCGTGACTATCGTAACCAATGGTTGGAGACTCTAGGTGACATGGCTCAGAATCGATAACAATCGCGTAGGTGTATACACTCTTTATCTTCCCTTTAACTGAGAGATTAAAATTTCTCCATATCTGTCTTCCTTCATATACTATATCCTTATATACAATCTTTCTTTTATATACTACCACCACTAAATTAACTATTTCTATGAATCCGGTGTTCATCTTGTTGTGCTAACAAGGTATGGCAACTTTGACCGATGCATAAATGTGCCTGGTCCTACGTTGTAGCTGACTGACTGACTAAAAACGATACCTGATCATCATTTTTTTTAATAATAACAAATGAAAACACAAAAAAATTTAATTTGAAAAATTTCTTAAATTTTTCTGTTTTTTGTATTTTATCTTCTTCTTCATAAAAAAATAAATTCCACTAAAAATAGATAAATAAACACTAATCATTCTGAATAACAGTAATAATAATAATGATAATAATACGTCATCGACAAAAAAGGGGGCAATAAAAAAATCAACCAAAAAAACACATAAAAGAGACAAAAAAAGGACCGAAAGCGCAATAAGGCAGGGGGGAAAGCATTGGCTGTAATTAAAAGATAATTATTACTATAGATAGTAGTGGTAGTAGTAATATTAGTATTATTTCCATACAAAACCAAACAACCCACTCATGGTAAGATACATTCAAATAAAAAAAAAGTAGAAGTCGATTTCTATTATCTATAACTATTATCTACTAATGATGAATAGAATCAAGGGTATGATAGGAAAAAACAAAGGGTATGTAAGTAGATAGTCATGGAAATTTTAGATTTTTTCCTGAATAAAATATTACAAAAAAAGACAAGTAAATAAGAATGTGAAGAAGAAGGAGAATAAAAAAATATCTGAAGATGAATTTATTGGAATAAAGAAAACAAGCCGCCACCAAAAGAAGAACTTGGGAAAAACGTAGCCGACTAGGGTGGGAAGGAATGGCAAAACGTTATCAGATGTGTGGGTTTGCTTTACAAACTCATCATCATCGTCAACTGATTCATTAAAATATCATTAATATTAGTAACAGGCATAATTTTTGTATACATGGGATCAGGGGGGAGGGGTCAAATGCTGCTCTGACTGACGATATCTATCTACTGAAAGATACGACTAATAAAATGGAAGAAAAAAATAATGAAAATTACTTTTGTTTTATTCTTTCCGCTTAATTTTTCTCTACGGAAAAGAAAACAAAACGAAGCAAACAAATAAAACTTCTCAATATTGAATAGGTCAATTAGAAAGATAAAAAAAACAAACAAACAAATCAATGAATTAATCAATTAACAGGAAAATATCACATTGATTATAAATAAAGGAATAAGTAAACAAATAAGTAAATAAATAAAAATAATCTGCAAATTAATTTTTGTTTTTTTTTGTTCTTCTTTTCATATAATTCATTTAGATTTAAATATGTATACTTGGCAACAAAAAAACGGAGTAAAAATTGACTACTATTCTTGAATATTGATTGACTCGTTTGCCTCCCGCCCTCTCTCTCTCTCTCTTTCTAATTGGAAAACAAAAACGATTATCAATATGAATGAAAATGAAAAAATATACTGTAATATTTATTTCTCTCTTTTTGAAATTAATTATTGTTACTAAGGCAGGTCAATCTTTGTTTGAATAGATTTAATAGAAAGATAAAGAGAAAGGAGATTTTAAAATAGAAACTAATGTGTACTTTGAAATAAATAATAATAATAATAAACAAAACAACTCAACAATGGATATCATCACTACTATTGAAAGTAATCATAAGAAAAGATGATAGTAACTATGAAAAGAATAGAAAACAACATTCAATGCTTATTTCATTTAATCTGAGTGAAATTAATAAGAAAGACAATTTCATATAATAAAGTATATAATTAAGTGTAAAGAAGAATATTTAATGTGTATGTTTACATGAACTGATAGAAGATGTGCGTGTGTATGTGTATACATACAGGAATTACATAATGATTATAGTTAAAATATTTATTTAAACCTGTTACTCCTAGTGGAAGAGCTATAGGCCATCCCCACCAGAAATAGTTACCATAATAATCATCATCATAGTAATAATTCAATAGATAAAGCATTGTAACACATATCATAAATGAAAATATACAAAGTATATTGCTTCTTAAAATGTTATATGCTAATCTCTTTGTCACTAAAAATAGTTCTAAAAAAACAAGAGAGAAAGGTAAAAAAGTAAAGAGGGGCAAATAAAAAAATGATGATGAAGAAGGCGGGATGTTGTAAACTAAAGAGAAAAAAAATCATAAATGAATATTGTGTAATTGTGTACTTTAGGCATTTATATCTAAAAAACGATATTGATTACGTTGACCACGAATACGTTCTAATTTCCCAGAGACATAATACAATCTATATAATGTGAAATAAACAGATACACAGAGAGAGAGAGAGAGACAGTGGTGAAATTATATAGAACTGATGGTTGATGATAATCAGAATTTATTAAAAAAAAAGAAAATAACAAGAGTTTTCCACAATGTTTTGAATTTTGATGGAGTTTTGTTCTCTGAACTGGATGGTCGTGGAGCTTTCATCGTTCTTCTGAACGACATCATCAGCACAAACTTCGGGTAGCAGTGAAGTGTTCGAATTTCTCCACATATGGCTAACAGATTGTCTTGTAGAGCTAGATGTTGATTGTTATTGTTGACCTTTAACATGTCATTGTTTACTTTTGTGAGCCATGTGGAGAAATTCGAACACTTCACTGCTACCCGAAGTTTGTGCTGATGATGTCGTCCAGAAGAACGATGAAAGCCCCACGACCATTTAGCTCAGAGAACAAAACACCATCAATATCATCCACCTGAGATACAAATCATCTCCATCATTTCAAATGTTTTGAGTGTTAAGCATGTGTTATATTTAGCAGATTTGCTCATTTTTCAGGTGTTCTGAATAGTGAAATGTAACTTTCAGGAAAGATTTCATTCATTTCAGGCGTTTGGAATTATATGCAACTACCTGTTATAGACATGTTACTGTAACTTGAAACAATATGTCAGAAAAAAGTACATATAAAATGGAATCGTTAACGAAAATTAAACTCTTTAAGATGTCAGTTAGTGGTTGGAGGCAGTCAACAGAAAACCTTGGATCTAGAGTTTTGTTGGACTTGGAATTTGTCAGTAAGGTGTGACTATCATCTTGAGCACACTGATGTTCCTAGTAGAGTCTAACTAACACTATAGTTCGAGGTGTTACAACTGAGCTATTGAGGCCGCAACTGACCTGTAGAAGTCAGTCTGTAAACCTACGTAACACAGGTTTAAGTCCAACAGAGAGCATCAGTTCCTTTGAGATTTTCAGACACACTTTGCTGACAAGTGCCATGTGCCACAAATCCTGATTTTAGAGTTTCCTATCGTTTACTTTTAACCATTGGACATCAAAACATAGTACACTCGATGTGGAATAATTTCGACTAGTGGCCACATTACAATTTAATTAATAGAATTCGACGAACACTAAACGACTAGACAAACATAACATTGATCACTAGTCACTAATCAATCAATTGGAAATTAAACAGTAATATCCAGCAAACAGCTCAGTATATGAGCGGGAAAGTAGCCGAAAGTGATGAATACAACAGACAATATACCATTTACAGCGTTGAGGATAATCTAATCCTGAACTAAACTAAATAATAACGTACCTTAAACTACGACTAACCGATTCAAAAGTCATATTGACATTCTTACGATAATATCCCCATAATTGTGACAACTTTTGTGGATTTCTTATTTGGAAAATACGTGCTTGTTTATCAATCCATTGAACACAATTAAGATATTGTGAATTAGGATTGAATAAATGTAATATAAATTCATCCGGTTGTTGATTAATTGAACAAAATGAACTTGTAGATGTTGTAGGAAATAATGAAGAAATGAATGTAGAGGCTGATGATGATGACATTGATGATGAATTTGTGGAATTCGTTAAAGATGAAGTTGATGAATCAGAAGAATATTGTAAAAGTTTACTAATAAACTGTAACAAATGCAAACGTTTATGAACAGGATTAGATATATTTATAGAATGATGGATCGAATTAGTTTTAGATTGGCTTTTACATGTTACAGAATCAGTAGTACTAACACTAGTTACTGTTGGTGTTATTGAAAATGAAGATGACGGTCGAATAGACAATGATTCATTATGTTCTTTTTTTATTGGAACAGGTGTATACATAAGACTATTTTCCTTACTTTCTAGAATATTTACAGTACCCTCAGCATTATTATTACTATTATTATTGTCAATGGTATTATCATTATAGAACAACTTTTCTCTTTGACTATTTGAAATTGATGGAGATAACTGAAATGTATAAGTGGATAATAAATCATGGATAGGATATTGAACAGTCTGTCCTTGAGGTGACGTAACAGCTTGATTAGATGGTAATTGTTGTACTACATCACTATTACTAGGAGTATAATCATAATGGAGTGAAATTGGATGTGACTTATAGATTTGATCAATATGATTATTATTTACAGGAAATGATTTCTTTGATAAGGAAGAGAAACGACGTCTAGATTGATGATGATAATAGTGATGTAATTGTTGTTGATGGTAGTGGTTGTTGTGATGATGATGCAATTGACGAGATCGTGTTAATGATGTAATGGAAGAACTACTATTAACTATTGTACGATTATAAACATACTGTTTACGTGTGAATTTCATTTGCCATACAGGTTTATTAGTTTTCATTGATAATGATGAAATACGTGGTTGAGTTTGATGATAAATAAGTGAACTATTTGAACTTTTAAACAATTTCGCAAATGGATTAGAAGTAGAAACAATAACAGTACTATCTGTAGCAATAGTATCAAAGGAATTAGTAATTGTGGTAGTTCTACTATCACTATTACTAATGGCAGTATTAGTAGTAGTTGAAGAGTTATTGGGAGATTTTGATGATACATTATCATTATTATTATTCAAATGATTTTTCACCTGAATTGAGTTTATACAATTGTAGCATTGCTGTGATTTAAATGAACAACAAGAACTATTTGACGATGAAGAAGAACATTCAATAGGAGATATTGTATTATAACAATTATTAATACTATTAGTATTATTATTACTGTTATTATTGCTACAGTTATTAGCATATGAAGAAGCGGATGAATTGAAAAAATCTATTTCTGTAGGACTTGAACACATGGAATTACAATGATTATTGATGTATCCAATTGATGATGTAGAAGATGACGAAGAAGGAAGCATAAGTAATGTATCATATTCATGACACGAATTAGGTGAGTTATCTAAAGAGAAAAATTAAAAAAGCAAACAAAAAAACGTGAATAATAAAGAGGAGGAGATTGATTATTTATGGGTTACGTTCTATGTGGGACATCTGCATTTGAAAGAACTTAATTTGTGGAGTCCAGCTGAAGAGGAAATTAGGAAAAGATGACACCAAATAAAATGATGTTTGTTAAAGTGAAAGTAGATTGAAAGTAAGGTAAGGAAGACCAAAAACAAATGGTGGCATCAGTCTATGAAGTTATTGATTGTCAGACTGAGTGATAATGATGGGCGCAAATCACCTGGTTAGTTTCTGTGCAATAACTATGATTATTAGTTGGAGACGTCGAGTGATTGAGATCAAAATCGATTATAATGATGTACACGTATTCACTATTTGTCTTTTCTTGGATTTTGAGCTTTAAAACTTTACCATACTTTTTATTTTACGAATTCGTCCTTTCTTCTCAATTCATATTGTCTGTGTCTTATTTTTTCTATTATCATTATTATTGTTAGCATTTCTACTTCACTGAACTTTGTCTAGGCTCCCAAATGCCCTGGTACGGCCGAGAGTGGGGAGAGTCACCTCTCCCTCTCTAAATGCTCTCACATGGCCACGCGAAAATATAGCCTCGGCCAGGGAATTCCTACTCACTGTCGTCTCGTGCCACAGGTGTTGTTTACAAAATTGAGAGGACGAAAAGAGAATGTCCGGCGCTTTAACCGGGTTAGTGGACACGGCGAGATCACCTAGGGGAGTTGGAAAACCCTGATTCCAAACCAATGGTGCACATGGGATACAGTATCCTGAGGGAACGAATGGCGTATGAATCAATCGTTGGTCACCGGCTACCATGGGACTGCATCTCTTCACGATGCTCCACTGCCTTGTGGATCAGATCTTTAGGTCAAAGGCTCCAGGTGTGGCCTCCTAAGAAAACCACCTGCTTCAGTTTGGGCACCTGGGCAGTATCACAGCGCTCACACAAATCAAATAAGATTTGTGTGGCGCATATATAATTAGTGCCCTCTTGTACCAATATTTATGTGTTTAAATAAAGAAATAAAAATACCTTGTCTAAATAATTTAACCTTACTATGCTGATATAGTGTAGCGATTTCAGACACTTAGTATACTTTATTAGAACCATAATGTTTAGTCAGGGTTAGGAATATTGAACAGTCGATTAAACCGACTTAAGCAGAGCCGAGCTTGGATTTCCAGCTTAGTAGTTGACAGTCAAATGCTTAGACAACTACAGATCATAATTATTAACTTGACGGGGTGGCTAAGTTTAGTAAATTATGATGGCCCATTCAGAGTAGAGATGGTGAAAAATTTGTTTTTTGAAGTCCTGTTACGCTAGGCAGGCCAGCTGCATGGAGACAAAACCAAGAAAACAAACGTAAGATACGAAGCCAGAATGGTACTGCTGACTGTACTAGAGTGATATGGTGAGCCAATCAGAAGTAGCCAAATGATGGTAATCAGGGATGACCTGGAAGACATTTGCACATCATCGGTTAAGAAATGGATTGATTTTCTAGAGGGTAGAGACGTATATACATGAGAGTAGTTTTGGATTTTATTTGAGAGCCCAATGTGCTTTCTCATCCACTCTTGTGTTCTCGCTCAAGTAGTTAGGTGGAAGGGGGTTAGCATGTAGCACGTCGTGTATCAATATCAGAGTGTGGACACTGCCCATCATAACGTAGAGTATGGCAGCAGTGAGGCGTTTCCCACAAATAACCATTATATTTGGCGGCATTTCTTCTCATACCAGGAGGGGCAGGAAAATGTTTTCCATTAAAATACTACAATTCATGTTACCGCAAGAAGTTTCGGTACCACCAATATAGGCTGAAAACTGAAGTTGATAAGTCAACAGCTGGTCACATAAAATATATGCGTGACTGGATTCAAACAGTTATTCCTTAAAATAAGCACACTTGCACTATTTTAACTAATTTTGAGTTATGTCCGATAGCTGATCTCAAACTACTAATTTCTGATGTGTTGCCACAGGCCTACGTTTTCAAAATGCACATGTTTATCCAATCACAAATAAGCGATAGGTATTCAATTTACTGTGGCCCTTCTATTTTATTTCAACGGATCATATTACACAACCACAATAGCAAACGAATGATATCATACAGTAAAAAACCAAATTATACACCATTTATCTATTGAACCTTTGAAAGTATCTCTTCAATTCATTTTTATATATTTAAATACAATTATTTTTAAGGTACTCATTTGAGATCTAGAAGTCCTGAGGTTGAACTATCTATGTACTGTTGTGAATTTTTTGTGTTGTAAAGCAACAGCCCTGGTAATAAGAAAAGACATTTATACTTTTCGGTTTTTGAATAGCTCTCCAATTAACATCAGTCAATTTGTACTCATGTGAAATATAATTATTACATAATGTAACATGTAAAATTGACAGAAAAGATAGTAAACGAAAGAAAGCATTAACTAGGATCATGAAGTAGAGAGGAAAAAACCGTTAAATGAATCTATCTACACCACAATTATCAAAAACTCGATGCAAATCATTAGAGTTTTATACTTGCTATTAATCATGAGGTTAGACACAGGGTATTAGGGAATGATGGTAAATCAGTTGATGAGGTCATGAATCGTCATCGACTGAGATGGTTGAGCCACATGTTACGTATGCCTGAACACCTATTACCACGACGCACTATGCTGACTAGTATTGAGGATAGTTGGAAGAGAGTTAGAGGGGGCCAAACCAAAACCTGGCATCAGTGCTTGAAGTCACTAACTTCTAATCTGAGCCATGTTGGTAGATGCAGACTACGTGGTTGGGGTCTGCGTGACTATCGTAACCAATGGTTGGAGACTCTAGGTGACATGGCTCAGAATCGATAACAATCGCGTAGGTGTATACACTCTTTATCTTCCCTTTAACTGAGAGATTAAAATTTCTCCATATCTGTCTTCCTTCATATACTATATCCTTATATACAATCTTTCTTTTATATACTACCACCACTAAATTAACTATTTCTATGAATCCGGTGTTCATCTTGTTGTGCTAACAAGGTATGGCAACTTTGACCGATGCATAAATGTACCTGGTCCTACGTTGTAGCTGACTGACTGATAAGGTTAACCTATTCATAGTAATTATCTGTACTTCCTCTGATTTGAGCATTGTTTAATTGGAACATGCACTACATATGTACTATGTTGATAAAATTATAACGACTAAATATGGAACTATATGAAGGTAATCAACATGAAAACTAACTTGAATTGGACATTTCATAACTTTCTTATGTCACTCATTAGTTAACATTTGATTAAGTTATTCGTAAACATTAAAATACCTGAAATATAGTAGAATTTTCAAGTTTTTCTTATAATTTATAGGTTCACGAATGTGAAACACACATTATTTAATATCTAAGTTTATTTTTAAGGATATAATTACCAGAAGGGGTTTGTGAAGATTTCAGTATTTTCATAATTGAAATCATGAGTCAATTGAAGCTAGACCACCATGGAAAACTCGGAAGCACTGGACGGCCGTTTCGTCCTATTATGGAACTTCTCAGCAGTGCGCATCCACGATCCAGCCTCGCGAGATTCAAACCCAGGACCTACCAGTCTCGCGCCAGAGCACTTAACCGATAGACCACTGAGCACAATTTTCATAATAGGACGAAACGGCCGTCCAGTGCTTCCAGGTTTTCCATGGTGATCTACCTTCAATTGACTCATGATTTCAACTATGACGATATAATTATCATTCTTCTTTTTAGATTTAACTTCTTAAAAATTAATTTTTCCCCTTAGTTTAAGTTAAATTGTGTTAGTTATAAATTGTAGAGTTAGTACGAAACGTGATATCATCCATAAGTATCTTCTTTATTTTAAATTAAATTATCTAAATGTGAACAATTAGAAATGGACACATAAAAACATATTACATATATACATATATATTCTGTGAAACAAATCAAGAAACTAAGTAGAGAGAAAAGCATATACATGCAAATTCAGATAGAGAAAAGTAGCGCGTGATTCTTATGATTTTTGGACAAAATGAGTTTTTAAAGTTTATATATTATATATATCCCATTGAATAGTACAGAAAAACAGTATAACAACCAATATAAATTGGAGGTATTTTTTTATCACGAGGTATTGTTGGTTGAAAAAAAGCATTAGAAACATAGGGAACAATGAAACGATTCTTTTTCTCTCTAGATTGAAATCAATATTTTCAGAAATGTCAACACGTGATACAACCGATGGACTTTAAATCTCTCACGACAAACATGACACTTTCACAAGTTAATGAATCGGAATTCAGTAGGTCATAGTTTTAAACTTAATAGATCGATAATGTAGTACGATTTTCATTTCGTATCATCACTGAGTAACAAACTCAATACTGATATTTTTATTTTCATAAATCAGGAGTGCCCATTTGAATTCCATTCACCTCTCTTATAATGGTTTAATCGATAAAATATTTAATGTTCTGAATAAAAACACTCATGAGTTAATTTTAGTGAAAACAAACCCATATTCCAACACAACACATTTATTATTTATTTAAACACATAAATATTGGTACAAGAGGGCACTAATTATATATGCGCCACACAAATCTTATTTGATTTGTGTGAGCGCTGTGATACTGCCCAGGTGCCCAAACTGAAGCAGGTGGTTTTCTTAGGAGGCCACACCTGGAGCCTTTGACCTAAAGATCTGATCCACAAGGCAGTGGAGCATCGTGAAGAGATGCAGTCCCATGGTAGCCGGTGACCAACGATTGATTCATACGCCATTCGTTCCCTCAGGATACTGGATCCCATGTGCACCATTGGTTTGGAATGAGGGTTTTCCAACTCTCCTAGGTGATCTCGCCGTGTCCACTAACCCGGTTAAAGCGCCGGACATTCTCTTTTCGTCCTCTCAATTTTGCAAACAACACCCCCGTCACGAGAAGGCAATGAGAGCATTTAGAGA